TTTTTTCTCTGAGACAGAATCTTTCTCTGTCACCCAGGCTGAAGTACAGTGGCATAATCATGGCTTGCTGCAGCCTCTACCTCCTGGGCTCAAGCGAGCATCCTGCCTCAGCGTCCCAAGTATCTGAGACTACAGGCCTGCACCACCACACTCAGCTAAATTTTTTTATTTTTAGTAGAGGCAAAGTCTCACTATGTTGCCAAGGCTGGTGTAGATCCTCCCACCTCGGTCTGCCAAAGCGCTGGGATTATAGATGTGTCACCCCGCCTGGCCAGAAATTAACTTGATTGAAAGAAAAGAAAATCTTTTGATATGCTAGCGTTTTTGCATGCATGCTTTTGCATGCTGAAGTTTCTAGGCTAAGAGTCATAGGAGCTATGCCATTTACAGAGATTTCATGGTCTCTTCAATTGCTCAAAGTTGTCCTTGAGGTGCAGAAACTCAAGTAAAGAGACTTCTCAGCTAGAATTTGTAGCTCTAGCAATTCCTTTGTTTATTGCACAAACCTAGCATGTACTGAGACCAAAAGTCCTGCCCCCTTGAAGACCAAGGCAGACTCTGGAATTCCTTGTGCTTGCCAATGCCCTTTGATGAATGCCCAGCCCCAAACCCCAGCCTGAACTGCAGGAGGAGGATTTGTTTTTTTTTTTGAGACAGAGTTTCACTCTGTTGCTCAGGCTGGAGTGCAATGGCGGGATCTCGGCTCACTGCATCCTCTGCCTCCCGGGTTTAAGCAATTCTCCTGCCTCAGCCTCCTGAGTAACTTGGGATTACAGGCACCTGCCACTATGCCTGGCTAATTTTTGTATTTTAGTAGAGACAGGGTTTCACCATGTTAGTCAGGCTGGTCTTAAACTCCTGACCTCAGGTGATCCATCTGCCTAGGCCTCCCAAAGTGCTGGAATTGCAGGCATGAGCCACTGTGTCTGGCTGGAGGAGGATTTTATAGAGACCCATTGGACTTTTCCTGTCTGTGTATGAACTAAGAGACTCTTCTGTCAGTCTTTTTTCCTGTAATAAACTGATATTCATGCCAGTATTTCTAATCACAAAATTCTTCCTTGGCCACTTGCTGCCTCCATGGGGGCAGAAAAGGGAAATCATTTTGTCATTCTTCCGCTCTGCACTATGTGTAGCTCCCATATTCTTTTTTTTCTTTCTTTCTTTTTTAGATGGAATTTCACTCTTGTTGCCAGGCCGGAATGCAATGGCTCAATCTTGGCTCACCCCAACCTCTGCCTCCCAGGTTCAAGCAATTCTCCTGACCCAGCCTCCTGAGTACTGGATTACAGGCTAATTTTGTATTTTTAGTAGAGACGGGGTTTCTCCATGTTGGTCAGGCTGGTCTCGAACTCCCAACCTCAGGTGATCTGCCCACCTTGGCCTCCCAAAGTGCTGGGATTACAGGCATGAGCCACCACGCCCAGCCGTAACTCCCAATTCTTAAAACCCTGAGCACTGTGTTTCCCCAAATGTGTCTCTGGATGTATTCACAGAAGTCTGCATGTTCTAGACGATGTTTATGTGCCATATCAGTTAGGATCCCATTCAGCTGGAATCACAGGAAGCTCTCCTCACCGAGTTTCGGCACACTGCTCGTCTCATATACGAAGTATCCGGGAGGAGCAGCCTAGGGCTCAGTAATGCTAGCGGGCACCCAAGTGATTTCTTCCCTCTGCTCCACTCTCGGCCTGAAGCCTTCACCCTGCTGTGGGTCTCCTCCCGGCCTCAGCATGGCTTGCTGCACCCCAGGTCTCATATCTACATTCCAGGCAGGAAGAGGAACGAAGGGGGAAGGGGCAAAGGGCTTTCTCCCCGTGAGCTTCTGCCTTTTCATCTGGAAGGGACACCATCCCCAGGGATTTATGCTTATATCACATAGGCTAGAACTGTATCTCCTCACCGCACTGGCTGCAAGGGAGACCAGGAAATGGAGTATTTGGGAAATTGTTGTTTTTTAGCTGGGCACATTACCATCATCCCCAAAACTCAGGTTCTCCAAGTATGAGGGAAGGGAAGACTGGAGCTGTTTCTGTCACATTTTCCTTCAGGTGATACTCTTGAAAATACCCATAATATAAGCATTTCCTGGATTCTATTGATGACTCGTATAAAACCAACATAAAGCTAATAGAAATGATTAGTCTCTTTCATCAACGTCCTGTGGAAAAAAAAAGAAAAAAAAAGAAATGATTAGTCTTTAGAACTCTCAAAGCCTAACAAGAGTAGAATGAGAACTGCCTTAAAATTTAAATGGTGCATCTGCATTAAGTAAAGGCCCAATAACCCCACAGCTGACTGAGAGCCGGAAGGTCTGAGAAAGCTTGTACACAGAAGATCCATGAAAGATGTAAAACATCATGTGGCAAAGGAGGTTGTGAAACTAGGCTGTAGCAATCGGTACCATGTTAACGTTGGAGCAAAGAATCCTTCAGTAAAGGAATATCTTGCATTACATTAACTACTGCTGTAATTGGAACAGTAGAGCTATAAGCATAAGGAGTTTATACTTGATTTTCTGTTTCATATATATTTACGTAATATAAATCGTTTAAGCCAACATGGTGAGTTCCCAAAAAAATCTCTTTTCTGGCCAGGCACAGCGGCCCACACCTGTAATCCCAGCATTTTGGGAGGCCAAGGTGGGTGGATCACCTGAGGTCAGGAGTTCAAGACCAGCCTGGGCAACATGGTGAAACCTCGTCTCTACTAAAAATACAAAAATTAGCCCAGCATGGTGGCAGGTGCTTGTAATCTCAGCTACTCAGAGGCCAAGCCATGAGAATCACGTGAACCCAGGAGGCAGAGGTTGCAGTGAGCTGAGATCACACCACTGCACTCCAGCCTGGGCAACAGAGTGAGACTCTGTCTCAGAACAAACAAACAAACAAAAAACCTCTTTACCTTTAAAGGAGTTTATCACATAATTCTTAGAAATATCTGTTTAATATTAATTAATCAATTCAACTTTTCACTTTAAAAATTGAAAAGGAGACTGAGAAGTTAGGACTTACTCTACAGATAGGCAGCAACCTGATGATGAAGCTCTGAGTCCTTTTAGTTTCTAGGAGTCCCCTGCACTTATGGGCCAATCGTGTCACTTGTCATATCATATAAAAACGATCAGTGTAACTGTCTGGTAAGCGGTTTGAATCTTATCCAACTTGTAGCTGCAATGCCTGGATAATTAATAGATCCTGTACACAGTTTGGAAACAGACAAACTGGATTGTAATATTTTAATTTATGATTCTGTGTTTCTGACTCTATATCATAATACTACAATTCCATTATCTAACAGTGATGGTGATGCTGCTTATAGTGGTATCAGTAGTGAAAAAACAATAATCGTCTTCAGATATCTTTGATCTTTTGCTTTTTGTCCTGAACTCGTCACAGAGCTGTTATATCCAATGCCCGGGCCTTGTCTGTGGTCTTAGCCCTCATTCATAGGTGCATGAATATGGTGCATTCACATTAAGGAAGGACAAGTCCCTCTTTCTACTAGGCAGGGCTTCTCTCTTAGTCAGAGGTCAGGTCAGGACTTTGTGTCCTCATTTCACACCACGATTGAGATGAACCCATTGATATGAGACTTGTTTATCTGCTCTGGTGGCCGGGCCAGTCCCAAACAGGTGCTCAAACATACTTGCTGAATGACCAGTTAACGACATCCTGTAAATGTGACCCTTTGACCTGGGTGGTGGGGGGACGTGGGTATAGTCCTCTTAAGAGATAAGTTGTATCCTTCAGCTCACAGGTAGATTGAGGTAGACAGACTGAGAGACACAGAGTGTTGACCTCATGCTAGGCAATTAATAAATATTTTGTTAAGGCTGGGT